CCATTACCAAAGTTGGAAGGAATAAACAGCATAAAACTTTTGATTTATGATCAAAGGCGAAGCTAACATCATCAACCAGCCATCAAGTTATAAGCCAATTCCATCGCTGACGAGGGAGCTCTTTGTTTCCAAAATTTTATTGAATCCAGATCTTGGTAGTGTCCTCACGTAAAGGGTCACAATTATGTACACCGAGTAGACGATGAGCGCACAAAGGCAAAATCTGACTAGCACCACCAGCTGTCTAACCCCAACACACACACACATGTCGAAATGGGACAAACTCAAGTTGTGCTCAACCCCGACAGTTCTTTTAATGGCGAGTCATGCAAATTTTATTTTATTTTTTTTTTGCTGATACTTCATGATGCAGAAAATGCCACATCTGACTCAGTCTCTAGGTGGGAATGATGTTGATCATGATATAAAGTGGCTTGTGGATGTGACTGCTGGATTCGGCTAACATTAGCTACGTTAGCTGCTACATAATGTTAACGCAACATTCTACGCATCTTGTGTTATTGTGGTCCGACAACTTGATGGAGAGAGAGTGGTAAAGCACATGTTGGTGTGGAGCAGTGTTTTGTGTAGTTTGTCAACCTGACATTGAATTTAACTTTAGTTAGTCCATGAGTACAAACTCCACTGTATCTACAAATATTAAGTTAGTAACTAATTAAAGTGGTCTGAAGTGCAGAGTTGTAACCAGTGCTGATAGTGAACAACCATCCTAGTGACATCCCCAGCTAGCTTGTTGTAAGATGCCTGTGCCCTGTTGATGAAACCATAAGATACAGATCTAGTTTTCTGGCAAATCTTGGTGGATATCAATTGCAGTGTCATATCTCCCCTAAGATTAATATCAAACAAACCCCGGTCATATTGTTTAATGTTTCATCTCCACTTTAAATCTGTAAAACCACTGGTATGGTCCTTTAAATCCAGATCAGAGTTCAATCAGCATCTTTTTCAACAGCTTAAATGAACTGAACCAAACAGGCAAACAGTTGGTGCAGCAGAACACAGTAAGTCCACAGCCTGTGACATAACTGCTGTTTTGTTGCACATCATTTATCTCAGCCAGAACCTGGCTGCTTTGTGAGCTAAAGGACTCAAAGGAATTAATCTGCTGCCGGAAAGTGAACCCTGCACAGAGCCCTGAGGGGTGCTGAGATTACTGCTTGACCAGGCATCACACTGACAGTCACAGCCAGAACATCACTCATTTAAGACTTACTCACTCACACACAATAGTTCATTAGCAGCAATTTGGCTGATCGGGTCAACTCAGGTCACAAAAACAACATATGACTTAGTGAAGGAGACATCTGCTTTAAATCCCTGTGACAGTGTTTCAAAGGCCGCTGACCTCATACCAGGTTTGTTTTCCTGTTATTTTTCTTTATCATGTGAGTGAGTGGTTGTTTACAGAAGAATGAAATGTGATGTTGATTTATTTTCAGCACCTACAGCAGAGTTTTACAGAGAAATGTTTCAGCTGTCTGTTTCAGTGTTTGATTTGAGTATTTGAAAAAAATTCAATTTAAATTAATTTTGGCAGATGTGTTGTAGTAAAGCTGCTGGATTTTGTACACAGTGCTCCCCCTGTCCTCTGCGATCTGGTCTGCAGTCCATTGCAATCCATTTGCAAGGGAGTTAGTCGTTCACAGGTAGACTGACTCAGTTTGTGTCTAAACACCTGGCTGGCTGCTAGCACTAGCATCAGGCTGTGCTAGCTTGGACCTCTGGGTTCGCTTTTTCTGTGATCAATTAATCAAATTAAGACATTATTTTGTCAGTCCTGGCAATTTTTTCACCATTCAAACTTGCCTGGATGATTAATAACAATTTTTTCTGTGGTGAAATTGACTCAGAACACATTTTTTAGCTTTACCTCGACTTCAATGCTCCAGTGAGCAATATTTGGAACATCACATGACATTATGTGATGCAGAAAGGCTGCTAATTTGTCGACACTATGAGAACTAACACAAAGGTTTTTACACATTTCCATGGACAAAATTTCTGCTGTCCTTTTCCATGACTTTTTTTCCCAAAAAAGTTTTCTTCCATTTCAAACCCACAGTGGAATGCAACAAGTTAAAGCACATTTTCTGCTGCTTGCATTATGGGAAATGTCGGACATAACTAATTGGAATATAAACAAGTGACATTTAAAGGTACATCTGCTGATTTTTCACACTGAACACTTTGATATATAGATGGAAAAATCAGAGGTTTAACCACATCCGAAATTATGAATCACTTTTGGTGTTAAATTTAGATGTTGTATCCGACCTTGTCGGAGTGACAACAGGTTTCAATCCTGTGAGTTTTGGTGGCAGTTGGAGCATCCTCTGGTGCACAGATTGCTGCTGCCTCATTATCGTTTCAGTTTCGGGGAGATAAGTCGCGAAAGGTAATCAACTCTTTGTGATTGCTCTTGTTGAAATGACATTTCCTCGTTCAGGTTTTGACAGAAAACATAATAATTGTATTGTTTCAGCCTTAAACCATCTCTTCTTTTTTCTCCCTGTGTTACTGTTGCAAACAAACCCTCTGTGCTTCTGTTTTTTAGGAGTTTAGTAATGTTTCTCACATAACCTATGACAGGTTGGCATTGTCCTTATTTGCTTTTTTATTGCAGCACTTCAACATTTCCGTGTGGAGTTTGCTGTCATGGACAAGTATTTCTGAAGCAGTGATATGTATCAAAAGCTTTTTATGAGTATTGCTTACATGATGCCATCTTAGAAAAAAGGTGAGCAGACTTTAGCAGGTGCTGGGGTGGCAGCCCACCTCCTACATGCCACACAGTGTCTGAGAAACACTGATTTGTAATGTGAAACTGCTTCATTCAGTGTTTTTACCAGTTTTAATCACCTTGTTGGTTTGTTTGGAGAGAAACAGACCTCTGGGCATAATTTGGCTCATGGTACAAACCTCCTGAACAATGAACACTGAAGAAATTCTAATCAGAGGTTTCAGCTGGTTGCAGTCTGCAGTCCTCACAGCTGCATGCCACTAAATCCCCCTAAATATTACAAACTACACCTTTAAGGTAGAGTCACATTAGATTAATGTTGTGATTATATTTATTCTGTCAAATCCAAGCATGTGCTTCCTGTTCCTGTCCAAACTCCTGCAGGCCAGAGTCATAATCAGATCGTTATTCTGTTGAAACACCATCGCATTACTCAGCTCCAAACTGCAGCACACTGTACACTGTTTACAGGATGCACACTGTGCTTTCTTTATCACCCACATCGGAACCATGACATCACTGTTTTTGGTCTGAGGGTGCACACAAAGCTAATGTGATTACAGTAACAGGTTGTATCACTCTAATCCTGTGTGTGTGCCATGTGTTCCTCTATGTTTAGCTGCAGGTTCTGTTTTATCACCACTCAGGATCAAACACGGTATTAACACACACACACACACACACACACACACACACACTAGGAGTGGACCATATCTCGTTCATGATAATACCGGTGGAATTTTTAATATCATATGAAAAATCCATGCCGTGATACTCACGATATTTCGACTTGTTGACATATTGACGTCATACTGTTACCCACGGCAACAACAAGCATGGCTGGAAACAAAATTATTACTGACTCCACAGGGTTCCAAAAAGAGGAGCAGCTTCAGCAGTGTGGAATAAACTGTGGCGTCCTGAATGTTTCATGAACAGCCCCGGACTTCTCAGACTCTTTTAGCGACTTACCGCTCAGAGGGAACTCATTCAGCGGCTCCTCTGGCAGCAGCACAGCGTCTCTCCCTCTCCTCTCTTGGCCTGCGCACACAGGAGTCAGTGTCATCATGTGATTTTGTCATAAACTTTTGCTAATGTAAACCTACGTGACGCTCGCGACTTGATAAAAGACTCCATATATGTGAATGTGTGATAGTTGTGGTATCATAACAGCCTGTCACAGGTTACAGCTTGATGATCAGAGGAGAAATGGCAGAGCATAAAGGTCCAGGTGGAAAAAAAGAACAACTCAATCTTTTAGGATTTTACTAAAAGAAGGAAATCACCTGTTGAATTATATATATATATAGATCCCAGGGGACATTTTTTGTATTTGGGAGCTGTTTAAATGTGTAATTAGTGTTAGATTTTATTTAGCTGAACTATTAATATTGTAACAGACTCTGAATCTCACTCTGAGTTACTGTTATTGTTCACAAACTAAAGAAATATTTTACTGAATATTTGAAGGCAAGCTGTAAAACTATATCACTTATTTTGTAGCCATTTTATGTTCTTAAATTAATAATAACCTCCTCAGACCCTGTGTCCTCATATGAGGACATCACAGTTTGGGTTTACTTGACCTTATGCTTCATCCTGCTTACCTCAGACCTGTTGCAGTCTGCAGCTGATCCCAACACAAAAGTAGACAAGGTCCAAAACCTGATCAGATTTTATGGTTGAAACTTGTTTATTTACTACTAATAATGTTTGTAGTTTGATATTCCATACAAACTTTACCAATTTTAGCAACAGTAACAAGATAAGACGCTTAGTAACACTTAATTATCATTGACAGTGTTTATTTTTTTTTTTTTTATACATATCAGGTCCAACTGATCTCAGATAGCTAGGAGAAATTAAAAAATGCACACCAAACAAAAGTTCGGATCTCAGGAGGATAAAATACATATATATTTTTGTCATATCCTCAAGAATATCGTTATTGCAAAAATACCCTGAAATATCGTGATATTATTTTAGGGCCATGTCGCCCTCCTCTAAGACGTTGTAACACACACACACACATACACACTGTATACACAAATGGTTGCACGTGCTTTATGTATAACACTGTCAGGATACACACACACACACACGAGGAGCAGCTTCTCGATCCAAATGCACATACATGATGGGTTGGAGGTGCGGAGGATGGAGATGGAGGAGAGGGTGGAGGGGAGTGCAGACCTCATCGATCTGTCCGAGAGAGAGAGAGAGAGAAAGAGAGAGAGAGAGAGAGAGAGAGAGAGAGAGAGAGAGAGGAAACGAAGAAGAAAGCGCAGGGGCTGGCTGCATCTTTATTCCAGCAGACCCCTCCTCTCCTCTCCTCCTCTCCTCTCCTGTCCTCTCTCCCCCACCTCCCCCCCTCTCTCTGCCTGCCAGTTTATGCTGAGTGGAGGTGAGACGGTGTTTCTCTCTCCTGGACGGACGGACACACTGACGGCAGGTTTGGGATTTTGACAGCGGCTGCTTCTTGGTGCTGACAGCGGGAGGAAACTGCGAATCTAAAGACACCAAACCAAGAGCGACAGAGAGCGCGCAGAGACAGCGAGGCAGTGCGGAGTAACGCAGAGGGGGGAAACACAACAACTTCCTCGGGGCGGTCTGCGGGGAGCTGTGGAGCTGCTGCCACCACAAAGGTACAGATATCACACAGCCTGCTGCAACAGTGCAACCACACATATATATGTATTTATATGCATGTATGTAGATGAATGCGTCGGAGTCCTGGAGCACCTCAGTGCGCACTGCGTGAGAAAACGCGCCTGTGTCCGTCTGCAGTGTGTCGCTGTGTTTATGTTGAGCTGCCTCAGCTGTAGGGTTGCCATAACACACTGTATAGATACTGATGGCGCGTGGCGCGGCGCGTGCGTGACGTACTTGTAATTTAAACTGTTGTATCTGCGCATTTATGGTGCAGAATGTTTGTTGGCTGTGCGAGCGGTGCATTTTTCTACTTGGTTCATCTTGTGGTGTGTTTAAGTGACACTGCAGGGTAGAGACGTGAAAGTTTGGTGCATTTAAGTTCACTTCAAACACCTGCTCTGATTAAGGAGCATCAGGGGCTGCTGATTGTGTGTGTGGTGCATTTGGGGGTCTTAATTTGAATCAGGTTTGGAGTGGAGGTAATGGTTATGTGTTTTCTTGCATCACTTTCTCATTGTGTGTTTAACTGTGTGTGTTAATGTGTTGTTTGTGTGTGTGACTCTGGTGTTACTACTCAGATACTTTGCAGCAGATCTGTATGGAAGTTTGTTAGTGACAAAACTGCAGACAACAAATCCAAGCCTAGTTTTAGGAGCCCTCACACAGATCAGTAAAGTCTCACTGTGTTTGACAGATTTTGAAGAATTTAACAACATCAGTGGATCCTTGAAGACAATTTATAGTCTACAGATTTCAGTGAGACATATCTATATTATCATCAAGCTTTAATTTACCTGAAAGTTTGTGACGTAAAGGGTGGAATCTGACAGAATGACGGCTCACATGTTGGTCCAACCCAATGGCGTTTTGCTGTCAGGTGAAGTTTACATGCGAGAGACATAAATGAAGAGCGAGCAACTTTGAGGGGTGTGAGGAAGGAGCTTCTCGTGCATATTGTGTGAAAAATGTGTTCCTTGTCCTCGAAACATCTGCTGTACACAATTTTGTCCCAACATTCTCAAAATTACAAACCTCAGTTAGTGCTAAGATCTGTTTTTAGGTTAGAGAGACTTCCATACATCTGCAGTGTGTTGTAGTTTTATTAGAAGAAACTTTTAATGGAAGAAATGCAGTCCTTATTTAATAATAAAACAGAGGCAACTGACTCAAAGTCACAGTTTTAGTCACTGAGTTTTTGAACTAATATTAAATACAGACAAATAAATGTGAATATTTGAAGTTCAGTTACTTGCTTGTAAGGTTTTGACTGTGCCTCACTCATCATCATCATCATCATCATCATCATCATCCGCCAGTGGATGAAGTTTGCTCACTCTTCATGAACCTGCACATCTTCAACTTTCTATCAGTCTGAGCACCTTTACCTTTTAATTTCCCTGTTGGCTTCAAGGTTCAGCTTTTGATTTGATTTATTTATTTGAAATGTTTAAAAAACAAAATAAAATAGAATATATCGTAGAAAAAAACCTACAAAACAGAGACAAACAATAAATCATGAGCAGACGTACAATGAGAAACATAAATCAACATTTCGTGTCTGAAAAGAAGTAGGAAGAAGCAACATGCTTATCTCGCCTCAATCCCAAACTATACTAATCCATCACTAATCAAACTATTACCGAAGTTAACTCTCCACAACATGCACTCCTAAATACCTGATAACCAATTACCCCATGTATAAAACAAATAGGAACTGAGAACAGCAATAGTCATCTTAACAAATAATGGATGTCGTTCAACTCTTCTGAGTCTCCAGTGCTGTTGTCTCTCTGCAGATGAATGTAGTCATGCAGAAAGACCTCTCACTGCTTATTAAAGATGAAAGCATATTTGTGAGGAGCACTGTGGTGCCAGAGATGTGACATTTTCCAGTAATGACCAATGACTTGTAACTAATCCCACATAAAAGGATCATTTACACAATAACTAGTCAGGTACAAAGTGTGTTTGTTGACAGAGATCCTAGCAGAGCGGTTCATCATCAGCTAAGGGAGCAAAGATCTAAGTTGTGGTCATATTTGATAAACTGTTTGCAGCAGCTGCACAAACAGAATAGAAAGAAGAGCCTGTGACATTAGAGAATCCAGTGGACCCTTCATATCCTCATTAAACTTGAACAAAAGTCCATAAAAAGCACGGTGCAAAACTGTGTATCTGTCATCTAGGTGTGTCAGCAGTAGAGGTGTATGTCAGCCTGCGGTCACAGCAAAGTAACCTGCTGCTTAATTTAAGAGCAGAAAGTTTGCTCATATAGCTGAATAATCATCCTGGCATCCTCCACTGCAGTGGTGCTTTTTTCTCCAGGGGGAGCTGTACCAAAAATCAAGCAAACACGTACTACGATATCACACCAGTGTATTTAGATAAACGAAAACGCCTTTGTTTGAATTAGCTGAGCTGAATTAACATTTGTTTTAATGAAACAAAATATATAAAAGTAGATGAATAGATTTTTATGTTTTATTTTATTGAAATGAATTTTGGATTTTTGGCTAAAGGCTACACAGCAGTTACATCAAACAGTTTAATGAGGTGAGAAACAATGAATTCAATTTGGGCGCAGCACAGAATGAGACACAGTGCCTGCTAGTGCCCAAAAGCTACAATCTCCCGGGGTATAAAACTATAGTAATATATATTATTATACTCTTATAATTCAGGGTGTAGAGTTGATATTCAGTTAACAAGAGGGAGGTCCTTGAAAAAGAGAAGTACTCACACTGGTGATGAAAGTGTCTTGTAGTTTTATTGCCAACCCAACCCATCGTTTATTTACTTAACATTATAGACAAACACACACGTCCCTTTTCTACCTTTGTAGTCTGTTGGCTTACATTTTTGTCCTGTCGTAATTTCATTCTCCAATAAATTGCCAAACTTACAGGTAATGCAATGAGTACTACAGACTCTGTAATTTGCAGATGATGTCTAGTCATCTTGTTTTACTGCTACAACTCACACTGGTTTGTTTTGTAAGGAAAGCGGTAGACTGTTCTTTCAACACATTCTCACTCCGACCTCGTCACATATCGACATTTGGTCATGGACTCTCCATGTCGAGATATGATGTTGTTGTCATTCTGGGACGTCGTGTCAACTTGAGCCTCTTACATGCGTGGTCTGTTTTCAAAGTACACTTATGTTTTTACAGGAAATGTACAGTTTGCATACAGTCTCTTTCAAAATAAAGGCACTACAACAGTACAGCACCAACTCTTTTTTCCTTCAGCAAGAAAAATGTGGCTACATTTAGCCAACACACACAAATGGTTGGGTTTTGGACAAAAACACAGGTTTTGGCTTTATAACGATCGGGGAAACAAACACCTGCCTCCCAGGTGAAAGTCGTTGGTCGTTGGACCCACCCACAACTACTTGGACCCGCCCTACTCAGACTTCCGCCGCCTTAACTTTCGTCGTTGTCCTTCCACGTTTGCCCCTGATGCTGCTGGGTGCTGTTTATCAATAATGGCGACTGGCTGCGTATCATGCTGACGTGAAAGGATGGCTTTTTTTTCGTCGGTGTCTAACACCGGAAGTCACAGCTACTTGACAGAGACAGCAAAATAGCTCAACAACATTACACCTATTAGTAATGTTGATAGACTTATTTAGACTTAATAGATGATGTTACCTTCATTATAAGGCTCAAATATTTTTTGCAGCTCCACACATTTTCTTTTTTGTTGGCCGAGAATGGCTCTTTTGATAGTAAAGTTTTCCGACCCCAGGCCTAGGATGTGGGGAATGGAGGGGCAGCACCTTAGCACCCTCTATTGCCGCCTCACTGTCTGCTGTATGTCTTCTGTGAGAAAGGAAGATGTTTCTGTGTATTTTACTTGTATAAGCAACAGAGGTGATTATCCACCACAGCAAACTTGACAGTCCAGAGGCATTTTGTGCCTCACAGCTGTTTTCATTTTCTTTCACTCCTTTCTTTCTAGACCTAGAGTAAAGTCGTTCCATGTCTCAGCCAAGCACACCTTCTGGTACAGTGTGTTGTTATTTCCATCTCTAGAACAAGTACTCTTGAGTACTTTTTCCCCATTCTTGGGATTCAGTCAGCTACACAGTATGGCAAGATGCTGATCTGTGCAGCATGCAGTGTTAGCATCAGTCCACAACAGGCTGCTTATTGCGACAGTAGACACAGAAGCAGTGCAGTCCGTCCATTAGCTGCAACAGAGACAAAACAGAGACCAGCATCATGTCTTTTTATGTAACTGTGACCATTTTGTCAACCGTGAACAAGCTGAAAGGCTGAAAATAAGCAGAGACTAGATCTTCCTCCACAGTTTACCTGAACTGTATGAGCTTATTAACAGCTGTTTGTGTTACATGTTTCCTCTGAGGGGGCGGGGGAGCCTGCAGGTATCCAGCACAAAGGTTCTTCTGAAACATGCTGATCTTTTCTGTATATTTATCCCACAGTACTTAATGCTTTTTTGTCCACTTGTAACATCACTCCACCCTGACGCTCCCTCTCTGTGGATTTTCTCGGAAATTTACTGTGTATGTTCCTAATGACCTCGCTGTGGGAATTCTTTGTTACTGAGTCTCATTAGCTGCGGTTACACCGACAATATTTCTTCAACCCGATCGAAGTCAACTTGACTATTCACCAGGACCCAAACAAAGTGATCCAATAAGACGTGTTTACATGCCCCAGTTCTGCCCGCTGTGAGGCGTGTAATCTGCCAAAGATCTAAGAGAAGAAGTCTTTCTCTCCCAACCTTACTGAGAAAATTTAATTCATTCAATACATAAAATATAGAATAAGAAGTGGTTTTACAATTTATTAATAAGTTAAGTGTAACCCTAGTAGTTATCTTCAGCTACAAATTACAGACGTCCCCGAAACATATGACGTCTACATCAGTAGATGCTACAATTTACCGATGTTCCCGAAACATCTCATATGCAGGCTATTTCTATTTGTTGCATTAGACGACTATGTCCAGAAACTCCACAATTCAGCCTCTAACAACATGTAAAAGGGCTACTGATTTAAAATCAAATAATGCATTCATTAATCAGAACAGTCACATAAAAAGGTAGCACTAGCAAAGCACCAAATATTATGTGCAGAGGGAGGCGCGTAAAAACAGCTGTTGTGCCATGTGCACCACACTGAGTCATCTAATGTTGCCCCCAGGTGGGCAAACAGAAAGAATATATAAATTCCAGCCACAGAGAAATAATTAGGTCAAGTGTTTACATGGTTATTAGGTGCTAATATTTTTCTATTGAATAAATAATCAAAAGGTTTACATCACCCCCCTCAGTCTGATTCCCTCCAGTCGGGCCAGTCTCTTCCGACTGGGGTGGTTATATGAGGCATTTTTATTCTGTTTGGACTCTGATTTTTCCAACATGAGATATGGCGCAGCAGCGTGGCAGCATGGCATGTGACACACGTTAAAGTTAATACTTCTTTCACTGAAAGATCTGTACTTCCTCCACCTTTGCATAAGCTTAAAATAATGCGTGGACAGTCCCTAATTAAATTTCATCTCTAACCTGAGGAGCCGATCTCCAGAGCTATGACTCACCAGGCAATATCTTTTTGGCTATTGTCTTTGTAATGACGGGATTGTGGGTCGTTTCACTTGAAATATGTCTTGACCTCAACAACGAGTCTGTCTTCATCTTTGTCACACACAAGCTGGTATAAAGGCTACAAACAGAGAGCCAGTGGGGGAAAAATGCATTTAATTCTGCGGGTGGGGAGGCTGGAATTAGGATAGCGGCGTAAAGTGCCTCGGGGCAGCATGTCCAGGCCAACATGAGTTTTGCTGCCGATGTTGGGTTGTACTTTGAAAATAATAGGGCCATATGTTTTGACGCGCGCCGTTTGTCACCATTGTGTTTTGGCCTTAACTCTGTTGTTGAAATGGCATTTGCTTTGGTGAAGAGCATAATATGACTTGTTAAGGGGTCAAAACTACGAGGTTAAGGACTTGGGACTTGTCAGTCTTAACTTAGGACTTAACGTGACTTGGTCCCATCTCTGCTGAGTGCCAAAGTTTTACAACTGAGCTGAGCTGAATTTCAAAGTTAGATAACTTTTGTTTCAGCAGCATTCAGATTAAATTATTTGAGTGTAACACAGTTCCGAACACAATCCTGCAACAAAGTCACTCTGTTATGTACTTTCAGTATAACCTGTCTGAATACCTTTACATTTACATCGCTACTTCCACTGCAGACAGAGCTGTCCTGCTGTGTCATATGACTCAGCAGAGAGACCCCAAACTGACAGAATAAAAAGAACAGGGACGGCTGACCTGAACGTCCCCAATTTGAACCCAGCCAGTGAACCTTGTCGTGAGTCGCCCACGCTGTCTATCGCCTGAGCAGCTGATAAAAACACCACACGACAACATGCATGAATCAGAGAAGACAAATTAATTTATTAAAATAACACAAATGCCATCCGAGGTTGGAAACAGTAATGAAATGCCCGAGAGAATCAGCGTTACTGCTGCTGGATTAATTCTGGCATCTTGTTGCATCCTCATTACTGTACTCGTCCACATTTTATTTTCAGGAACTTTGCTTAAAATTTGACAACATTTGGGTGGACACACAGTGACTGTAATGACTTAGAACACTCAGTTAGCACAGCATTTCAAGTGTTAAAACCAGTCACTGTAGCTTCACTTTCCTATATGCACTGCACTCTGCTGCATGCAGGATCAGTAACAATAACATCAGTCTCATTAGTGCTGCTTTATCCTCTCACACGTACTAGAATTGGTACAGTGGCCCACCCAGAGTGCCACTACAGCCTTACATGGACACACACTTCAGGCTCTAAGTTTAACTGCTTGTTCATCAACGTTCAGGCAGCCAAAACACACACAGCAACACATGCACGCACACACACACACACACACACACACCGCAGCAGAGACTGAACCCGTCAGACGAAACACAATGTGCCTTAGATATGGACACTGGATGTGAGAAGGAGAGGAGGAACAGAAAAAGATATGTCAACAGAGAGGGAGGTAGAGATGAGGAAAGGATGGAGGGATGAGAGAAGAAAGAGATATTAGAGCATATATAACCCGTGTGTATTGAGCCTGGCAGTAACCCCGGGGAAATTCAGCAGCACAGCAGAGTTACTTTGCTGTTTTGATTTGATGAATATTCATGATCAGGCAGAGAGAGAAAAGGAGGGGGGCTGGTTCGTGGCAGCATTTTGATGTGTTGCTGCTGCAGCTCACATGGCGGTGTGTAGCAGAGACAGAGAGTATAGAGTGTGCAGCTAAAGCCGGACATAACCTGTCTCTGTTTCAGTACATCAACCTTCACTGTTGTCCAAAAAAACTACTCAAAACACGTTAATAATGTTAATTATGTTCAACATGGTTGGACACCGTTCTCTCAGACATCACATCCATTTCCTGACTCTTATCCAAGTCCTGGTCCCAGTGGAAACATGCTAAGAAAGGTAGCCCAGGAGTTCTTCCAGCTCTCTCTGGGGGAACCGAAGGTGTAGCCACTAGATGGGGTTTAATCCATCCAGCATGGTTGTGCCCTGGGGTCTCCTCTCAGGTGGATGTGCGTACCTCTGCAGGAATGTATCCAAAGAGGCATCTAATAATGATGATAATCATCCTCAACTGGCTCCTTGTGGTGTTAACAAGCAGTAATTCCACTCTTCTCACCTTCTGAGGGTCTCACTGTGACCCTGAGGGCGACACCCCTGTAAAGGACACTTGTTTCAGCTGCTTGTGTGTGCGTGATCTTATTTAGCATTCAAAGCTCATAACCATAGATGAGGGTTGAGCTTCACCCCCATCCAGTCCAGTCCAGCATCTGTGTGCTGCACTAATCGACTTGTTGATCTCCGTCTTGCCCCTACTTGTGAACAAGATCCCACAGTGCTTCAGCTCCTTCATGTGTGGCAAGAACTCACTACTAATAATGACTGGAATACAAAATGGATGATGATATGCCCATTAACCAGCGTTTCCTTATTCAGAAAAACAAATGGTCAAACAGAGATTGATAGGTGGTAACCTTTTAAAACCATGCAATATAGAAAGATGATAGAAAGAAACTGAATTGTAAACAACCAAAATCGGAATCTGCAGGTCAGACTTTAGAAAAAATCTGGATCGTCAAAGAAAATTGAAACGAGTGCATCTCTAGTTTCAAATTACGACACGTTGACTCTCTTGTCTGACCTCACTTCCTTCTTCCATCAGGTGGGTGTGAACTCCCCCTCGCTCTTGGTCAGAGATGGATTTCCCGGAGGACTTCCTGCTGGACGAGCTGGGTCACCTGCAGCTCTACAACGACTCGCTCTTCCAGAACAACTTCAGCTGCTTAGACAACGTAACCGACGCCTTACTGCCAACGGGGGTCAGGGTCACCATCGTGGTCGTCTACATGATTGTCTGCGTCATCGGCCTGGTGGGAAACTTCCTGGTCATGTACGTCATCATAAGGTAAGAGAAACAGGAACTGAACTCTTGTGGAAGTGAGTTAACACGTTTCAGGAATCTTCCAGAACCAAGGCAGGCTGCCAAACTGTCACTAGCTTCTGGAAAATTCTTGAAACAAGATCATCTGCATTGGAAAGAAGTTGAAATGATCCCACGCACATGTTTTTACTTGGTGTAAGTCTTTCACGACTTAACAGCTTTTGATGTGATATCTTTGTAGTAAGCCTTGCTTTCACTCTTAGCCTGCTCTTGTTGAAAAGGACTTACGTGAGATTGTATTGTCTGAAAGAGCTGAGAACCCTCAACAGCTCAGACTTCCAGTTCAGTGACAGCACATTTTCAGCCATTCCTGTAAACCCAGTCAGGAATAATAGACCACTGTTTCTATAGCTCTGAAAAGGAGACAGGAGACAGGCAGCATGGCACACGCAGCAATGCGAGTGCTGGCAGGTAATAAAGTTTGCTCTCGTTTAAAGCCACAGATTTTCAAAACTATCGATGGAAAACTGATAGTGGAAGACAAATTTCTGAACTTTCTTGTGATCAAAATGAGGACATTGAGTCAGGATGAGATTGTTATGCTGGCCTCAAACAATTTCCCGTCTGAGTGGATAGAGGAGTCCAAACGACTTCTCTTTGAAGTGTGTCCAAGAACAACACAACGCTGTGTGACACACAAAGGTCCTCAGAAGGATATAAACAATATAAAGACATGCCTGAAAGTTCTCAACGAGAGCGGGGAAGACATCCCAAGATTTGTGTCTCATTACTTGGATGATCTCCCGCCTGTTACAAGTGGCAGCATCGACGTATCGGCTCTGCTTGGCAGGATTGAGCAGCTCAACAGAGATATCTCCAGTGCGAAGGGGGCTCTTGATGCTCAAGTGAATGTGTGCGAGGATCTGCAAGCGGTTACTGTGGACGCTGTGCAGCGCGTTACAGCGCTGGAGAAGACCCACGAACCTGCGGGCCCTGAACACACCACTGGAGCAGTTGTGGTGGAAGAGACGAGTGTGGCTGAAGCACCACAAACAACTCGAGACACAGCGGCAGTGAGTGCTCCGCCACAAAATCAATCTCAGTGGAGCACTGTTGTAAGAGGAGGCCGGCGTTTAAAGACAGCTCCTGGGTTTCCCAAGCCACAACCAAAACGCGAGAGGAAGAATATGGCAGTAGTTGGCACTGGGAATGTAAGTAATGTCCAAGTGGTTAAAACCAAGTTGGTTAGTGTGTTTGCAACATGATTCTGCCCTAACCTTGACTCTGACACTCTACATGACTATTTGATTGTGAAATTGGGCAGGTCAGTTACTTGTCGTAAAATCGACTCGACGCGTAACAGATTCAGCTCGTTTCATATCACCGCTGAATGTAATGAAGTGGCTGAGATGTATGACCCGCAACTCTGGCCAGCAGGAACGTATGTCCGACGCTACTACGAGGCCCGTCGGCCTCGTCTTACACCTGCCAAATGAGAATCTGGAGCTGAGGGAGCAGTTACGCAGCAGCATCGGGAGAGCCGCAGCCTGGAGCCCCATACATGACAATGGTCAGTGAACGCAACACAGACAATAACACAGCTGACTTGAAAATCCGGGTTGTATCATACAACGCGCGGGGCCTTCGTGTTGGTCATAGCGCTGAGGATAAATCATCTGACTCATCGTTGACAGGCTCCTAGAGAACTGTGATGTACTGTGTGTGCAAGAGACATTTTTAGCAGTGCAGGACTTGGAAGGCCTAAATTCATTACATTGTGATTTCTATGGAGCTGGGGTATCCACCTCAGCTTAAAATGAAATCATGGAAGGATACCTGGGGGAGTGGCTATCCTCTGGAAAAAGAAACATGATTCTGTGATCAAAGTAGTCAGAGTGGATGTAGATTGGGCTATTGGAATAGAGATAAATTGCAACGACACTAAGTTTATTATCTTAAATATCTATACGCCTCATGAGTGTTATCAAAATGAGGGTGAATTCCTCAATAGATTAGCCTTTGTTAACTCCTTCATCCAAGATAATTCCTCCAGCAGCATCTTTGTTTTGGGAGACATGAATGCAGATATTTCTGATGAAAACTCTTTGTTTGCAAGACATTTAATACAATTCTGTACTGATGGAGGCTTAACCCTCTCTAGCAAAGTGCTTTTGCCTGAAAACAGCTTTAGTTACATCAGTGAAGCTTGGCATACCACCTTATGGTTGGACCATTGTGTTTGTACATCGGATGCACATGCTTCCTTGGAAGCCATGGAAATCTGTTATGGTTATGCCATAGCCGATCATATACCCTTTTCTATATCTTTGAATGTGGAAAAATTACCAATGGTGTCTACTGTGGGAAATTACCCAATATCAGGAAAACTGGAGTGGTGTAAATTAACTAAGAATGCCATGAATAAATATACCATCATGACAGACAATGTACTGGGCAATATTGAGCTACCCAAAGATGCAATAAGATGCTGTAATGTGAACTGTGAGAACCCACAACACAGGAAAGATCTTTGTGTCTTTTATGATTCTATTGTGGAGTCACTTCTTACTTCCAGAAAACCATTGTATAAAATTCAGTCTAAGGTATATAATGTCAAACCAGGCTGGAATGATTATGTGGCAGAGCTTCATGGGACAGCCAGAAAAACATTCAAAGCTTGGGTAGAATCAGGTAGAGGCAAACAGGGGGCCTCTATTTGAAGAGAAGAAACGTTCTCATGCAAATTTCAAATATGCTCTTCGATTTATTAAAAAATATGAGAAGTCTATGTGATCTGACTCACTGGCTAAGAAGTTGCAAAACAACGTTAATGATTTCTGGAAGGAAGTCAGATGTATGAATAATTGTAATATGACTCTGCCATCGAATATTGAAGAGATTAGTGATCCTGATAAAATATCCCAGATGTGGCTACAACATTACTTTGAATTATTTAACTGTGTTGGTAGTAATCATTTTGAAGTGGGTACTGCTGATACAGATGTGAACATAGTTATCAATTCAGAAGAGGTTCACTCTGCTATTTTAGGATTAGATGACAATAAATCGTGGAGCTGATAAGATAACTGCTGAACATTTAAAATATGCAAGCAAAAAACTTTGTATCTTACTTGCTATCTGTCTGACAGGTTTACTAAGCCATGTAATCCTGCCTGACTCTATCATGTCTGTCTTGTTAGTGCCTGTAATCAAAAACAAAGCAGGCAAAATAAACAGTATAGAGAACTACAGGCCTATTGCATTAGCCAGTATCTTATCTAAAGTTGTGGAGAAAATCCTTCTCAATAGGCTGGAAGATTACATAATCACAAGTGACAACCAGTTTGGTTTTAAATGGAAACATGGCACTGACATGTGCATTTTTGCCTTAAAAGAAATTTTAGACAAATACAACAGACAGAACTCAACTATTTTTATGTGTTTTATCGATGCCTCCAAGGCCTTCGACCGCATCAATCATGAACAATTGTTTAATAAATCGCATGTTAGACGGGTCCCCACGTGGATTTTAAGAATTCTTGTCTACTGGTATGCTCATCAGACCTTCCACATAAAATGGGGAAACTGTGTCAGAACCTTTCTGAGTCAGTAATGGGGTGAGACAGGGTGGAATTTTGTCCCCTTTTCTTTTTAATGTATATATGGATGACTTGTCGCAGCAGCTGAATGTATGTAATACAGGGTGCATGGTTGGCTCTATGTTAATCAATCACCTTATGTATGCTGATGATTTAGTAATTTTTTGCCCATATAGTGCTGGCTTACAACAGCTATTGAAAGTCTGTACACAATATGGTTTTGACTTTGACATCAAATATAATGCAACTAAGAGTAACATTATGATAGTCAGAAGCAAAGGTGAAAGGAAATTAGTTCTCCCTGATTTCTTTTTATCTGGTTCTGTTCTTGAAGAATGTAATGAGGTGAAATATCTTGGCCATCATATTGTAAACGATCTGACAGATGATAAAGATATTATCAGGCAGTGTCGCAAGCTTTACTTGCAGGCCAATCAGCTTGTACGGAAGTTTAGCATGTGCACTACTCATGTTAAGGTAGCATTATTTAGAGCATACTGTACTCCTCTGTACACTGCCCATTTGTGGCGTGTTTATAGCAAAAAAAAACATGCAGAGACTAAATGTGGCCTATAATGATGCCATGAGGATGCTTTTAAAGCTTCCCCGTTGGTGCAGTGCCAGCGAGATGTTTGTGAATGTCGGGGTGCCGAACTGCTCTGCTGTAATACGCAATCTCATGTACAAATTTATGTGCAGGCTGTCGGCCTCAGGAAATGACATCATATTGTACCTGTGTGACGGTAAGAATAGCTCGTTTCGGTTCTCTTCAAGACTGTGGAGCCACTGGCGCTCCAGTCTGTATGTGAGGGCTGATAGCCTACCTGACGCCTGTCCCTCCGTGACTACATCTGGTTGATAATGGCTGCTATGACTGTGATTGATGTACGTTTTTATTGTATTGTTGTATTGTTGTTTTTATTGTCTGTCTTTATGTATTTTTTAGTCACTATGGACCTCTTGCTTGTGTCCTTAATAAAGTCTTTATATATAGCAGTCCACACCAAGAGGATGAAACACTTCAAACAATACGTCTATAATTGATCCAGTCTAAACAAATACAAAGGCTATTGGTTTTTACAGATGTTTTAGATGTTGTGAGGATTTTTCTCAAGCCACTGTGTCACTCTCTCACTCCGTGTCTGCGGCCCAACAATGCTGGTGCTGAATTTTTAGTCCATAAATCAGTACGTTGATCTAGAGAAACTTATTCAGGATCAGTCTTGTTCGTAACTTTACTTCTTTATCAAACAAAATCGCCAATACTTGCTGCTATTACATGTACATTTTCACTGTAAACTCAATACTTTTGGAGGATTTATCTTTGCTTTTTCTGATATCGGTGGTCAAAGGACAAAGGTCAAGGTTACTTTGACCTCACGTAATGTTTTTATCTATAACTCAAGAATTCATACGTCAAAACTT